TTACAGTCCTAAAGATGAATGTTTTAAAGGATCCCAGGGATTTTATAGTTATTAGTAATGTACAGTACATGCTAGTTTCTGTTTTCTCTTCAGTTCATGGCAGACCCTGTTCATTTTACTTAGTCACTACTATGAAAAGTGAATTTCTTTCTTGATGCTGGGATGTCCTACTTCTCTGAGTTACTGATTTTAATAAGTTTCTGTTTATATTCTTGCATGATTCATCTGTCACACACAGTGACTTCTCAGCTTATCTTCACAGTCAAATGCCTGGCATCCTTCAAAGTATTTATTTTTATGACTGAAAAGTTTGGTAATAGTCCAGATAAATTATTTCCACTGTTAATGTTAGGTAGCAATGCTTATTTTGAAGTAATACAGGAAATGTATTTTGAATGGGTGATGTTGTACAGGACAGATTTTTATTCCTAATGATACATTAGTTAAGGAGCCTTTTAAAGACCTAAAAGGAGAACCCTTGAAATGCTTTCAATCCTGCTGGAAATAAAATGCGTTCATTCTTTAGCTGGTGCCAGGTAGTAGGGGGAAAAATAAGCACTTTGTACAGCTTTTCTTGATAACAGCTTGTCAGTAATCACTCTGTAAAAACAAACCATAGCCTTCTGTAACCCCGGTGGCGGCCAAATAGTTGCCACCCCTGCCCAGTATCAGGGATGGTGTGGTGAGAGTGAGGCAGGGCTTCCGGCCAGCACCAATTCACTTTCCAGCCAACCCCTGCTCCTCACAGAGCAGCTTGTGGTCCCAAGGTCTAACACTTAACTGATTTAACTGTTTACACTTTATTTACAAAACAAGAATAATAGGAAAGGTTATTTACAACTTAATTTAAATGGCATAACCAGAATCACAAAACAAACCAGAATGCATTAGTCAATCCTTGACTCAAGAACCACAGGTAGGGTAACTCGCAGCTTTCAGCCACTGCTGAGATGCTACCACAAGGAAGCAAGGTGCTCACTCCCAGCAGCTCCAACAGGATTCCCAATAAGCGCCAGACTGCAACAGGTTAAGCTCTTCTGGTCTACAGCAATCAAATTGTATCAAACCCCAACCCCTCAAAGAGGCAGAAGGGTGACCCTCTGTGGCAACCAAAAAGGCAAGCAACAAGCAACAGAATAGGCTCCTGCAGCAATCAGCATGACCCAAGCACAAAGCTCAGGGACTCCATCTGATGACAATCAGCTATAGAATAAGGGACAGGACTGAGTCCCCTCTGGGGCAGTCAATGGCAGAGGGTCAGCAGCACAGGCAGCTCCCAGGGGTCATTGCTCTAAACCCCTGCTCCAAATGACTGGCCGGGCACCCCACACGCCTTGTGGCTTGCCAATCCTGCTCCGAGCGCCGGCCTGTGCCCCGAGCTCCTGGGGACCCTCGTCCTGGCACTCTGCTGCTCCTCGTCCTGGTGCTCTGCTGCTCCTGGAGACCCTTGTTCTGGCACTCTGCTGCTCCCATGCCTTGCCTTCTGCTGTCCTGCTTCCCCAGGGAAGGTAAGGGGTTTCTTCAACTCACCAGCTCAGCTCCCTGCTCCAGATAAGGATGCCGCCTGCGCTCTTGGCCGCTGCTGCTTCTCCGCAGCGGAGTGGGGGGCCAACTGCCACCCCTAGCCTCCGGGATGCCTGGCACATCCAGCACACTGTGATGGGGCCTTATGGCACCAGCTCTGCCCCAAGCCCTGGCTGCTGCTCCCTCTCTGCTGCAGGGGTGGAGGCACGGCTGACTGCTGCTGCCGCCTTCTCCCAGGGCGTTTGAGGCTCTTCAGAGGGGTCTCTCTGCTCCCCCTGCTGGGTCAGCTCTCATCATCTCTTCTTAGGCCTCCTGCATCGTTCCCTGGAGTCACAGTCAGCAGCCCCCCACGCCAGTTCGGCAGCTGTTTTTATCCCTTCCGGCAGTCCCCCCCTGGCTTGCAAACCGGCAAGCCAGTGCTCAGGGTGGTGGGCCCCCAACTTTGGCCACCCCCTTCCATGTGAATGAAGGGATTGAAAACCCCTTCTTTCAATTGGCTTCTCCTTTTCCACAGGGCAGGGCTCCCCTGCTCCACCCTTGGGGGTGCTCAGAGTTCACTGACACTGTTTCTAGCCCAGGGTAAGTATCTCAAGCCAATCTGGTGAGGCCACATTGGCAGTCCCTTACACTTATAAATAATTTTCACCAAAAAACCAAGAGTAAAGGGCAACAATTGGTAAGTGTGTCAGTCAAAAGAGAGGCAAGGATTTCTTAGGGTGATATCTTTTATTGGACCATTTATGTAGTTAGGATAGAGTTAAATAAGCTTTTTAATGCACGACATTCTTTGTCAGGTCATGAAGAATGTCTTGCATTAGAAAGCTTATCTAACTCTATCCTAACTAGATATTTTGTCCAATGAAAGATATTACCCTAAGAAAGCCTTGCCTCTTGCATAATTCCTGGACCATCACGGCTACAACATCACTGATACTCAGTCAAAAGACATTTCAGGAGCATGTACATGTGACACCATTAACATGTACATGTGACAAAAATGTTACTTTGTGTGGCTTAATGGCACCACAGTGTACACATGTAAGACTTTTGGGGGTTTTAAATGATTTTGCACTGTTTCAAACTAAACTATATCAGGAGCTAGTTTAATTTGCAACTTTGCAAATTGCAATGATGCAACTGTCAGCTCACCCCCACTGGCTGCAGGGGAGGCAGACAGGCTCTGCCAAAAAAGAAGGATTGGGTCCCTTGCTGCTTCTGTCTTCACCAGGCAGAAACAGAGAGGGGCCTGATCCTTTTTTTTTTTCAGTGGAGCCTGCCCATGGCTGGGGGGTGAGCTGCCGGTGGGCTGAGTGCCCCCTGAGCTGTGGGGGACCCTGGTCCTTCTCTTTGTGGTGGTGGTGCCCCCCAGGGCTGCCTAGGCAGGGTGGTAGTGGGCTGGGTTGTGCCCCAGCACAAAGGGAGCACCTGGCCTGATCCGACTCTTCCCCAAGCCCACTGGGGCTCCCAGCACCCCATGCACTGTCCCCGCCACCTTCTCCAGCAGTCAGCACACCCAGCTGCCCTTCTTCCACCTCCCCATGCTGCCCCAGGGGCAAGCCATCCCATTCCCGGGCAGTTCCAGGTGGTGGGAAGGTGGCGGGGACAGTGCAAGGAGTTCTGGAAGCCCCAGCATGCTCAGAGAAGAGTTGGATTGGGGCAGCTCGCTAGCAGCCTGCCTGCGTGGTCCAAGTGGGTACCACTGCTACAGAGGGAAGGACCGAGGCTCTCTGCAGCTCAGCGGCTGCTTGGCTCATCAGCAACTCACCCCCTGACTGCTAGCATGTTCTGGCTCCAACCAAAAAAAAAAAAAAAAAAAGCATCAGGCCCCTCATGTTAATCTGATGGAAAAATTGAAATGGTTTAGTGCTATGGGTTTTATTCTATGCCCCACCATTTCAATTTAGGGGGCATAGAATAAAACCTTGGGGATTAAACCCCCATCACATATACAAGTGACCTTCTTGAACAAGGCCTAACAACTGTTTCTTTAAGAGATGCTGGCATTTTGTCCTCCTGAAAGGGTATTGTGAAAAGTCTCTACTGAAGTCTTTCGTTGGTCTAGCCTGTTGCCTAAACCTCCCTTGGTACATGCAGAGCTTGGGTGAATTAAACTTCCAGTAACTACAGACTGTACACTGAACTTTGCATTTGCCCCTTAAATATAGCTGTGCTACATGAGTGAGAAAAAGGATTTAAAATTTTGAGTCATCCTGGGCCTTCAAATTCTCTTGACCTCTCCCTTCCTTAGTCTCCACTCTTTAGGTTATGATCCTTTGTACTGTCTTGGGGAGTGTAAGAATCTTTCTATGTTCTTGGCTAGGTCACTGAAGCTTGTAAGACTTGCTGCAGGCTGAATCAAGACTTCAGAAATCTTACTGAAGTAGGAGCAAACCATTTTACTTAGCATGAGCAAACTGAAAGGAAATAATTGAAAAAATCAGTTTGCTACTGATTAACTAATAACAGTTCTAAACTTAAAAGCATAATTTATTGCAAGTAGGTCACATAGATCTGGTCTGGAGCCTGAAGTCAATAGAAAAGTTTTCATTGACTTCAACAGCAATAGCATTAGGAATTTAAGGAGATATTTTATGAAACAATTGTTCACAAAAAGCATTATTTTAATTTTATAACAGTAAGGCAGTGATTCTAATTCTCAATGGGTGCATTTACACGTGATATTAATGTGAAACAATAAACTCCGGTACAGTTCACACCAGAGTTTATTGCTCTTGGGCACAGCATTTACATTTGTACCCAGGACAGTAGCACATTTTGCTGGAGTGGTGCAGCCCCAGCTGGCAGAGGGTCAGGCTGCCAGCCCAGAGCTGCTTCCCACCCCGGCTCAATGTGTTTTGGAGGGGCTGGCTGGGGCCTGAGGTTCCTACATTGTGGGGCTAGCCAGCTGGCAGCCCCCTGCACTGTAGCAGCCTCATGCCCCAGCCAGCCCCGGTCACTGTCTACATGTGTGTTATGATGAAGTAAATAAGTCTGTCATAGGATAGTACTTGTTTTGAACAACACTATCCTACTATCCTATGGTGGAATTAATTAGTTTACTCAGGCTTAATAGCTCCACGCATGTAGATGGTGACCCTTACTGCAGAGCTAATTAGTCAGCTCTGCAGTAAAGCATCTGGTGTAGATGCACCCAGTGCCTGTGACTAAGCACTATTCCAACAGATGTCCCTAGACTTGGAGCAAGCAATTATAGCCCAAATATTAACCTAATCTATTTGATGAATGACAACCAAATAAAAAAAAAAACTAATACACATTTTAGATAACCTGCCAAGTTCAAATGAGATTTTAATTGCAATAGTGCTCGTACGGATTATGGTCTCAATTACTGTTCTGTTTAAAATAAAATACTTTACAACATAATTGTGAATGA